TTTGAAGGTAGGAGAACAAAGTGTCCAATTGCACCTGCTTCTCGGGAAGGCTTGCAAATCATTTATATGTATTATAAAAAGCAAAGGTCCTAATACTGATCCTTGTGGTGTCTCGCAACAAACTGATTCTCATTCTGATTCAATTACTCCTAAAACAACTCTCAGTTTTTGATATGCTAAAAAAGCACCTTAGCAACAATTTTTACCAACAGTACCAAATATTTATTTTAATTTTAAATTTCAAAATTATTTTTATTTTTTTCATTTTTGCTTTTACTTTTTTTTTCAAACATTCTAAACAAGACTTCAAGAACAGTATTTCTATTATATTTGTATAAAATTTATGATAAATTATTTTTGTATAAGCAATTGGAATAACAATAATATATATATATATATATATACTGAAACAATAACAATAATATATTCTGAAATAAAAGTTTACATTTCATGGTTGTTTACTAATAGTACAAGTACTAATCTAAGGTAAGCACCAATTAAATAATAATAGCAATCATATAATAATAATAATAATAGTAATAATAATAATAATGATGTAAATTAAATGAAGACGATTATAATAATATCAATAATACTATTAAATATAATAATGATTATATTAGCAATTATAATAACAACAACAACAATAATAACAATAGCAATAATAGCAATAATAACAATAATAATAATATTAACAAATATGACATTTATATATTAAACAATTTTAATAAATTATAATGACGGTAAAAAAAATGTAAATAATATGTAAGTAATATTAACATCACATATGATAATAATACTAATAACATTAGTAATAATAATCTATTATAAGCCTAAGATTTTAATTAGAGTATTTTTCTATCAAAAAGTCAAAAAGACGGGTTTTAAATTGTGAAAAAAAGTTGAGGGATTGAAAATGAAAAGGTAAATTATTCCAAGATTTTACGCATTGGTTTGTAATAGAATTATCACCATATTTTACCGAACAGCGATTTGGGATAGATAATTTAAAATTACTCAAAGATCGAAGGTAATAACCAGAACTTTTTTTAGTGGTAAAAAAATTGGAGAATGACGGAGGGAGGTTTACTTGTTTATGATTCCAGACAAATAGATAATTTAATAAATAAACAAGATCACATAATTTGAGTATTTTTGATAGAAAGTAAAGGATGTCAGAGTTAGAATGATACTGTTCAAAGAATATTATTTTTAAAGCTTTGTTTTGTAGGTTACATAACCTTAAAAAAGCATTAGACTTGCATTGTCCCCAAACCTGGCAAGTGTATCTAAGATGAGATCTAAAAATTGCATGATATATATTAAGTAGAGTTTCATAATTGACATAGTGGCGAATTTCGGCTAGCATCCCATTTGATCTACACAATTTTACTCCTAAGTTTTTAAGATGAGAGGAAAAAGATAGATCTGAGTCAATTTGGATTCCAAGATATTTTAGTGAAACTACCGGAAAGATTTTTTGTCCACTTAGTCTAAAGTTAAGGTTTTTATACATTTTAGATTGATTTGATTTGAAAATAATAAGTTCAGTTTTGTTGGTATTAAGACTTAGTTTGTTAGAGCGCAGCCATTGAAGAAGATTAGATAAATCATGATTAATATGCTTGTTAATTTTTTTTAATGATTTGTTTGTTATGAGTAAGTTGGTGTCGTCAGCAAAATGGTAAGCCATTGAAAATTTTAGAGAGATATTAAGATCATTTATTAAAATAAGGAAAAGCAATGGTCCTAATACAGAACCTTGTGGTACACCCGTGGAGCATTTTATTGGAAAAGATTTGGCATCATTAATGGAGACAAATTGCAATCTATCAAAAAGATATGATGAAAATCATTGCAGAGTATTACCTCGAACACCGTAGTGTTCTAATTTACTTAAGAGGATGGAGTGGTCAACAGAATCAAAGGCTTTCTCTAAGTCAAGAAACACTCCGCATGCAAAAAGTTTATTGTCAAGAGCATTTCTAATGGTTTCAGTTATTTTAATAAGTGCATGAGTTGTGGAGTGTTTGTTATGAAATCCATACTGATATTTGTAAAGACATTGGTTTTTGTTAAGAAAGCTATAAAGTTGTACATGGCTTTTTCAAATATTTTGCTAATGTTAGATAAAAGAGAAATTGGTCGATAATTTTTGTGGTCCATTAGAGAACCCTTTTTATGGGTAGGAATAACTTTGGCTATTTTAAAAACATCTGGAAAAAGATCTTTATTAAAATAATTATTCAATATGGTACAGAGAGGCTTGCAAATAACATGAGAAGTAAGTTTAAGAAGGTGTGTGGGGATACTATTTGGTCCTAAACTTTTACCATTTTGTAAACTATTTTTTATTAAATCAGACACTTCATTTTCAGTTACTGGATCAAGAAAGAAAGAATTAGAATTAGCATTTATTAAATAGTCAGAAAAGATACTTTTAGAAGAAATCATTTTATTTTTAGGTGGGTGTTGTATTGCTTCATAGTATTTGTTAAAAATGTTAGCAACAGCCATACTGTTTGAGATAGTGTTACCATTAGACTTGAGAGTGTAAGATTTAATTGGTTTAGAGGGTTTGATGTTAATAATTTCTTTTATTCCTTTCCATGTATTTTTTGTATTGTTGAGGTTTTTGTTAAAAAAGGAAATGTAGTATGACTTTTTGGAAATTCTTGATAAATTGCTAATTTTATTCCTGTACAATTTAAATTTATCGAATAGTTGACTTTTTGTGTTGGAATTTTTAGATTTTATATACTTTTTGTAGAGCTTATTTTTAATTGCAATTGACTTCAGAACTCCATTAGTGATCCAAGGTTTAGATATGAGTTTAACTTGGTTTTTGGTCAGTTTTTTGTATGGGGCATGGCGATCAAGAATTGTGTTGAATGTATTTAGAAAGAAGTTCATTGATTCATTGACATCATCATCATTTTTGATATAAAACTTCCAGTCAATATTAGAAATATCCTGAATAAATTCATTATCATTGAAATTCTTAAATGATCGTTTAGCTGTTATGGATTTTTTTCTTTTGAAAGGAGTACTACTAGGAATGCAAACAAACTGTGCCATGTGATCTAAAATTGATATTGTTACGTTACCAGAAATAAGATTAGGAATTTGAAAATTTAAAAAGATGTTATCAATAATTGTTTTAGATTTACAGGTTACTCGCGTTGTTTGAATTATTGTTGGGTAAAAAGAATAAGAACAAAGTGAGTCAAGGTAATCAGATATAATAAGGAATTCATTGTAGTTAAGTTAGTCCATGTTAAAGTCACCCATTAACATAACCTGTTTATTTTCAGAACTAAGTTTTTCAAGTAAAGGATTAAAATAATCAGAAATAAATTCCTTTGGGTTCATTGAAGGATGCCGGTATATGCAGCCAACAATGATATTTTTCTTAAAAGGATCGATGATTTCAATAAAGATAGATTCTAGGTATTTTGGGGCATATACTATAAGATCTCTTCTGACATTGTAGTTTAGATTGGATTGTAAGTATAGAAGAGCACCGCCTTTTTTAGCTTCAGTAGAGCATTGTTCAATGTTATAACCATTTATAGTAATGTCAGTTATATTGGGATCGTTAATGTACAATTTAGATTCCGAAATTCAAAATACTGTTGGAAGAATGGTAAGTGAACTTATGAGACTGTGAAGTTCATCAATATGAAAATGCAAAGAACCGATGTTTAGATGAAGGTACAATACAGAATTTGATTTTAAAGTTTTATTGAGATCAAGAATATTGTAGTATTTGCAGTTGGAATAGAAATTAGAGATTTTATTTATATCCTTAAAAAAGTTTTTGAATTGTAATGGACTTTCTAAAGAATTTAAGGTACTAGTTGATAGAGTTTGACATGATATAGTTAAAGAAAATTCTAAGTCCGAAAGTGTGCTAAATGGCATACTCTTAATTATGCAGTCACTACAATACCAGTCAGAAGAGTCTTTGACAAGAAGGTTATACGAAAATTTGTTGATTGAATTGCACTTAGCATGAACCCAAGAAGAACAACAGTCACATAAAATGCCTCTTTGATGATTGGCCACTGCTTTATTGCAGAACTTACAATGGTACTTAATTTCCATGTAAAAATATAAGTTAAAAACAAAGCAATAATATATAAAGTATGGCATAAATCAATAATAAATAAATATAGTATAATTTAAAAATAAAGGATATAATAATTAACTAGTAATCATAAAAGATATATAGTATTAAGAATTTTAATAGTTAATAAAGTAATAAATAATATAATAGCAGATAATATATGTATAATAAATAAATAACATTAAAAGATACAACAACTAAAAAATAAACAAAAAATTATTAATTATATTAATGAAAAATAATATAATACAAGAAAAATAATAATATAATGAAAGAATATTATTTAAAAAATAATAATATAATTCAAGAAAATTAATAATAATAAAATTAGAAACACAAAAAATTATAATATATTGTTACAAATTAAACCGTTAAAAAAATAAGTATAAAACAACCAATCTTCTTATTCTTTGTTTGTAACTTTATTTATTTTTCCTTCTTCTTTTCTTCTTTTGTTTCTTTTTATTGGTTAACTTTTTTCTTTCTTTCTTTTTTTGTTCTTTTATTGTTTTACGGAATCATTCTTTTCTTTTTTTTTTTTTTTAGTTCGAAATTCTGTTTACCTTTTTGTAAATATTTTCTTTGGATTTAATTGTTTGTTTTAAATTCATTTATAAGATTATTGACTTGATTATGATTTATTGGTGATTATGATTTAAAAGTGACTTTTTAAAAACAATATTTATCTTTTAATTTGAGTTTAACTTTATTCTTTATTTTCACTTTAGCCTTTTTAACGGTTAAAAAATTGCGACCGCCATTTGCGAAGACCTTGTATTCACAAACTGCATAAACTGAATAAATAAGTTATGTAAATTTAAAAAATTGTATCTATAAACAAATTTTGTGATGTTATTAATTTATTGTTTAGCCTATTGAATCTTTGAATTTATCACCATGGTTTCATGGAAAAATTGACAGAGCAACAATTTCTCGCTTGCTTAAACATGATGGTGATTTTATAGTACGAGAGAAATCAGATAACTCTGGAACCAATGTTTTGAGTGTTTTATGGAAAGGCTCAATAAAACACTTTATTTTAAAAGCTAATGATAAGGTATGTATTTTTCTATTACTTTAAAATTTTACATGTATAAATATTGATATAATATTAAATTATTCTTGTATAAATACTAATATATATAAAAAAAAAATTAGTATAATACTGTTTTTCTATTACTTTAAAATTTGTTGTGTCATTACGTTAGAATAATAGAGTTCTATCTCCCTTTTGTACTGTTAAGAGAATTTAACAAAATTTGTTATACTCTCTTAAATTTTTAAAATTAAAAGTAAAAATTTGTTAAATTTGTTAAATTAAAAAATCAAAATATCAAAATTTTTTTATTTCTTGCTTAAAATACACATTATTTATTATTTATTAGGTAATATAAATTGGTATAAAACAAAATAGCATATTGGTAGATGAGAACAATAAGGTTCTATCTCCAAACTTTTATGGTAATAAAATTTAATTTTCTGTTTTTATTTATATTATTATTTTTGTGTTCAAAATTATATAGTTTTAATATATTAATCTTATTTTTATTATTTATATAACTCCAAAAATTGTTAGTTTTTGTTTTTTCATTGTCAATTTCAACCTTATTTCATAAAGTTGGAATTCAAAATTAATTTGTAAGCAAGTATAAATTTTTATAAATTATGAAATTAATAATGTAAGATTAGTTATAAAATAAAAATAACAAAAAAAAAAATTTTTTTTATTAATATAAACAGCAACAACTGTAAAATGTTAAAATAATTAAAAATCATATGTTAAATTCATACAACATTAAAAAATGGAGATATATTATTCCCTATTATTCTAATGACACAATGTATAAATATTATTATAATATTAGTTTAATTGTTCTTGTATTACATTAGTCCTGTAAATCATTTTGAAAGTATGCTGATAAACTTTAGGTCAGATGAAACTCAATTTTTTTTCAGCTAATTGTTATCACAATAATATAGATCTTTCTATATTTATGAACAGTAATATACTTGATGAGTCAACTACTCTTCATCTTTTAGGATTAACTCTTATTCTGATCTTTCCTGGAAACCGTATACTAAATCGATTGCAAAGTTACTATCTGCTAATGTTGCATTTCTTTATTGTGCTTGCCACTTTCTTACTCTGGATTCTTTATCTCTATAAATTTCGACTTGTATGGAATACTGTTGCCATATCTGGAGCCGATTTTCCAATGATACCCTTTCTCTTTTAGACTAGTGCTTTTAGACAAGGAGCAAAAATGCAATGTAAAAATATAAATAGACCTGCTCTTGCAGCATACCTTCCACCATTTTCACATAATCATAATGTTGCTTTTCTTTCTCTTTTCTATAAATACTATAATGAGCATTTCTTTAAAAAGCAAGAGTTTCTTGTTACTACTAAAATTCTTGTGTTACTTGTCATTTGAGTCCTTTTTCTGTTTCTAAGTGCTCCAAAAATTCTTATTTGTTTTTTTTCCTTGAACATTAGTTCTTTTGCTATCTTGCAATCTTTTAAGTTGTCTGTCAATCGTTATCTTGCTCTACAATCATCATCTTTTCTCTTTCAGTAACTTCCTACTTTAATAATGGTTGCTTGCAGCCTTGTTGGAAGTGAAGACGTTTTAAAAAAAAAACAATCAAACATTTTTATTTATATTTAAACAATCAAACATTTAAATGTTTAAACAAGTTTAAACATATGAATATTAGATTGTTCACAGATTGTACATCACCGTACAGGAGAGGCAGAAAGATGTTGAGTAAATACTTATCAATTATTTTTTTTAGTGGAACCTCTAAAAGTCTTACAAAAGCAGCGCACATTAAATAATCTTTCTGTACATGTAGAAAGTTGAGTTTACCATATTTGTTTGAGTGTGAGGTTTGGATTTGTGAAGAACCATTTCAATTGTTTAGGAGAAAATGATTGATGGTGGTTTATGATTTTGAATGAAAGATTTGGATTTTAGTTTTCAGATTTTAAATGAATATTCTGTACCTTTGATGAACACAGTGGTGTTGATACAACAAACTCATGATTGATTATAGATCAAAATATTTTATAGAATATTTTTTGTTTAAATGGAGGGCAGATGACCATGTATGAAGTTTTTGAATGAAGTGTTTATGATTTTTAGCCATAAATAATATGTTGTTACAAGGTTCTGTTGGTTCTAATTCTAAAATGAGTGGTGCTGGAGTAGTTTCATCTGTGAACAGTTTTATTAGTCAGATATGACCTACAACTTTAAAAGTATTTCAAATTTTCAATGATCCCAAACTGATTTTTGGATTCCTTGGGTTTTTATTTTAGTTTGTTAGGCCTTGTAGCACTGTAGCACTTGTAGCACTGTAGCACTTTGTTAGGCCTTGTAGCACTGTTTGAGTAAAATATTTTTGAAAATTTGGTTTAGTTAATGATTAATTATTATTTTTGTGGTCCCAAGTAGCAGCAATATAATTGTCTTTGAATGGCAAAATATATTACCTAAATTTCTTATTTTTATCATTCATCATTAAAAGTTTAATAATATAAAAGTTAAAACAAAAAAATCTTTAATTTACCACTTTATTAAAAAAATATAACTAAAAGAAAAAAATACAAATAAAAAGCAATTGCAGTGGTTGTTGATGAATATTTGGTTGAAAGTAATTTTATTAAAATTAAGAAAACAAATAAATAGAACATCTGTTAGAGCACTTGCAGACACGTCCTATTAGTGGAAATTGTAAATAATTATATAATAATAATAACAATAATAATAGTAACAATAATAATAATAATAATAACAATAATAATAATAATAATAATAATAGCAAAAAAAATAATAATAGAAAAGAATAGAAGTGCTGTAGCTCTTAAGTTGAGACATAAAATCACGTAGAATTTTAGACTATAACAGTTGTTACAGAAGTAACCAAGGTTAAAGTTACTATAATAATATTAAGCCTAATCTTTAGCATTTTCAGGTTTTGGGCTGTCTAATAGAAATCATTTTTCTTCTTATTATTATTTTTATTATTAAATTCCTTCAGAACTACACAAAGTCAAGGAAGCTGAAAAATTTATCAAATTAATAAAACTTGCTTTTTGTGCATTTGCTAAATATATTTTAAATAGTAAACATGTTAGAAGTTATCATAAACCAAAATGATAATTGTAAGAATTGTTAAACAGTTCTTAGTTAAAACAAAATAATATTGTTAATGTCACTTAATCGCTTGTTGACATCACTGAATTTTGAAATTTATGTTTTCTATTAAACAATTGCTTCAAAAAGTTACAAATGTTTTTTCTTGCTATTGAGTTTTTTAAAAGGAAAACTTTTGCTTCCACTGTAAACATAAGATCAAAGAGCAAGCGACATATCCAGTCTAACGTTATGTATGCATTTAAATTTTTTTGATATTTGTTCAAAAGAAACAACGTTGGAAAGCTTGTTACAAGATAAATGCTATGATAAATTGCTGTTAGATTTAGCATAGATATTGCTATCAATATGTTTTTTATAGATTCCATTTTATTTAATTTTTTTGCGTTATTGACCATTTTGTTTAAATACATCTTAAGCTTGAAGTTTAGTAAAAGACATATCGTCATTGGTATGATACTAATAATCCCACATATAATATAAGGGTGACAATTTGTTTTTATCTTCAAAATTGTATTACCTCCAAAAAAGTTTGAAAACCATTGGAACTTAAGAACCAATAAAGTTGCTATTCCTATAGACACCAACCAGGATGGTAATGCATACCAAGTTAAAAGCTTCTTGTTTGTTTCAATTTTGTTTTTTCTCTGACCATGATAAACTGCTTTATAACGATTGTATGTTGTGCTAACAAGCATGAGCACATTCGCTGTGAAACCTAAGTACAGTAGAAAATGGTGATCAACTGCCTGCTGACAATTTTTTTTAGGGATGCCATTCTTGACTTTGTATATTTCGTTTAAACTTAAAGATAGCATTCCAAGTATGTTTCCCATATAGTTTGATAAAAACAACTTTGCTGTAGAGCAACAGCATATTTGGCTGCTTGTTATTGTAAAAGTAATTGTTATACAATTCAATAATATACCAACAAGAATCAATATGAGGTAGAAGATATTTTGAAATAGTATATATTCTTTATTATTAGCAAAGAAGTTTGTGTTATTCATTATTTTAATTTTTTTTTCTCTAAAAATAAAAATTAAATAGATTAAAATTTTTTTTCTAAAAATAAAAATTAAAAAAACTAAAAAATTTAAGATAAAAATATTTTTTTAGTGTCAAAAAATATTTTAAATAATTAGGTTATTTGTTGCTTCTGTTTTTTCTTTACACTTTAGGTTTTAAATGGAATACTGACATTTTAAATAACCATCAAAATAAATTTTTATATAAACTATTATTTCTCTTAAATCTGTTTAATCAGAAATATAACGAACATATTTATTTTTATTAACTAATAAAAAAAAGTTTGAATAAATTTAAATCAATTTTAAAATTTTGATATTGTTCAAGATGGTATAAAAAAGTAATTGTGGGGATTAAAGGAGGGGATTCTTTTTATAATTTTGTTTGTATGTTAGTTCTAAACACCCTGTCATTAAAATTTCTGAAGTAATCAACTTTTCAACGAAAAAGACCTAAATTTGACTGACAAATAGTTTATCATACAAACATAAAAAGATTTCTAAATTAATAAATTTTTCTAACCAATAAAAGAGCTTATCTAAATGTAGCTAACTAAAGTAGTTATCATTTTTTCATTGATTAGAGCAACCAGCTGATTTTTAAATACTGTCTTCATATGGTTATTCTTCTTATGATGTCCTTTCTCTTTTAGACATGGTCCGTAAACATATTTTAAATAGAGCTTACATGCTGCCAAGCTTGAGCCTCTGTCCCATCATCATAAGGTTGCGTCCTTTTTTTTTTTATTTAAACATGGTTACCATGGATGCGGCACAAATGACTTGTTCCATCTAAAAGTCAATTTTATGTGGTTTGTCATTAAGCCAAGTTACTTTAACTGAATTAATCCTCCATTCTCAAAAAACTTTTTAGAATGGTCTTCTGTCAATAAATTTTTGTTTTTAAAATTTGATTTTTTCTATTAACTTCTAACTTAAATAGTGGTTGTTTAAATTGCTTGCATGGTTACCATGGTTGTTGCTTCGTTGGAAGTGAGTTCATTTTAAAATATTAAAAGAAAAAATCTTGTATCTATAAATGACAATATACTGACTGAATCTTCTATGTTTGTTCTTCTTGGATTATCTTTTACATCTGATCTATTCTGAAAGTTATATGTCAAATTCTTTGCAAAATCAGCATCATTACGAACTGTGTTAGTAACTATTATTAAATCTTGATGCCTGCAGAACAAATTAAGTTAGATGCGAATTTGTATATGAATAAAGTATTTACTTGTAAATATCAAATTTACATTTATAACTTCTTGTGGTAAGATATTAACTTTTTTTTATCTTAATATTAGTTGTTTTTTTTTGTTTTTTTTTAAACTTAAAAAAAAAAATTTATTATTAAGTTTAATTAAATTTAAAATAATCAAAATTTAGTATTTATTAAGTTTTTTTGTTTTTGTTTTGTTTTAGGGGTTGTACACACTGGAAGGAGAATCATTTTCTTCAATCAACGCTCTTATAACTCATCATTATGAAAGACGCTCTGTCATACAGAGTAGCACTGGTATCATATTGATGAATTCAGTAAATCGTATCTTTATGGATGGAGATGATTACATAGTACCACAAGACGATGTTCAACTTAAATGCAAACTTGGAGGTGGACATTTTGGAGATGTGTATAAAGGTATAGTTCATGTCAAATATATTTTCAAAAGCATTATACTATATACCTTCATTATTTCTAATTTTCCAATCATTTTAGGAGTTTTACTTTCGAAGCAGATTATGCTGGCAGTAAAAACCTGTAAAGAAAATGTAAGCGATGTGATAAAAAAACAGTTCCTCGAGGAAGCCGAAATTATGAAAACTTGTATGCATAAAAATGTCTTAAAATTGATCGGGGTTTGCAGAGACAAAGAACCTTACTATATATGTAAATATATGTTTTAACTTTTAATACAATGACCAAAATTTTGTTTGTTTTTTCTTTTTCTATATATATATATATATATATATATATATATATATATATATATATATATATATATATATATATATATATATATATATATATATATATATATATATGTATATATATATATATATATATATAATGCTTTTTTTTTCCACCTAATCAACTGGTGTTGATGCAAATCTGTGTTACAATATTTTGTTGCCTAGAAATCATTGTAACTAGATGCTGATTTTATCAGCAGCTTTAAAGTATCAGAGTGTTCATACTACCGGGTTGCGCACAGATGGTGTTCCTGTTAGTGCTTTTGGTGTGCATTGTTTGAGGTGGAACTTTTTGTTACAACTTTGATAGAACTGTAGCGCTTATTGCTTGAGATGTCATGCACTATCTATGATCAAGTTTTCTAATAATTTAAAACATTTAATAAAACAGCTTTAAAACCTAAAAATTTTTAGAATATAAAAACCATTAACACCAAATCATTTTAATCTACCATAATACCTAACTTTTTTGTATCAAACTTTTATTATCTAATCTTGAATCCAACAACTAATGATAAATTCGGATTTTGATCCTCTTGTACTTTTGCTGACTTATAACAGTAATAATTGAAAAGTTCTGTTGTGCATTAGGCCGAAGCCATGAGGTTAGGTTAATCCTTAAACCTTAAACCTCTGGGGTGTCACAAGGTTTCATCCTTGATCCCATAACATTTCTTATCTATATTAATGATCATTTCTGAAAGTATTACCTCTATGACAACTCTGTTTGCTAGTAAAGACAGCTGGGGCGCACAGTAGCTTTTTACTCCTATTTCCATTCTTTAACTCTATAAATCTTTTATTCCTCTTTGTCTCAAGGTCCAAAACACATGATTACACCAAGGTCCAAAACACATGATTACTTCAAGGTCCAAAACACATTGTAAGCATGATTACTCTTGTTCTAACTTCTATCTTTATTTTTTAATTTTCTTAAATAAGGATAGGTATAACGAGTGTAACAAATCGACTGAGTGTTTGGGCAGGTAGTATAGCAAATTAAAGAAGAATTTATTTGTTTATGGACTTAAAAGATAACATTAGAATAGTATTTTTTGTGAGTCTATTAAACTATTAATTCAATTCCAAGTTTGATGAAATTCGGAACTCAAATTTAAATTTCAAAGTTTGTATCAAATTTGACAATTTTTAAATTTTAGAGCTTTTAATACAATTTACAGTTTTTTAGGTTTTTAAAGTCTTTGGCAGTTTTTTGGTCTCTTATTTGCTTTCTGTTAGCTTCCAACTCTCTATTAGCTCCCAACTTTCTGTCAGCTCCCAACTTAAATAGTTGTTGCAGCTTTCTTAGAAGTGTTTTTTTTTTTTTTTTTTTTTTTTTTTTTTTTTTTAACTTTTTGTGTTTATTTATTTTAGTGTTAGAGTTGTGTGATAAAGGTGATTTGCTTGCTCTTTTAAAAAAGGAAGGCCCCAATTTTACTCAGATGAGATTGTTTGACATGTCTATGGATATTGCTAGAGGGATGGCTTACCTAGAACAAAAACAAATCATTCACAGGGATTTAGCAGCTCGCAATTGTCTGGTTACAAATGATTATGATGTAAAAATTTCTGATTTTGGAATGTCTAGAGAAGAGGATGATGAAGGTTTGTATAAATTTTTAACACACTACTCATGTTAAAAAAAATTGCATGTAAGCAATCAATGACTGCTTGAAATAATGGAATTTTTTGAAACTAATTTTTGAAAAAAATTGTTAAATATTTTTATTTATATTTTGTTTAATTTTGGTAAAATATTTTATGATTTCCAAATTTGAAAACAAAAATGGTTTTGCTGGGTGGTTTTGCATGCAAAACATGGTCAAATCTCTAATAATTTTAATGTTTATTATGTTAAAATAGAAACTCCATATTTAGTTAAAAAATGTTATAAAAACAACCCATTTAAAATAAGTTTTATTGAAATTTGATTGTAGAATTGAACATTAAAAAATATGTTTAAATAATCCTAAATGCATTACTCAGACTTTTTTTAAAGAGATCTGCATGCTTTGCTTTTAGCAAATCATGCAAATCTCTTGTTGAAATAAAGTAATATTTTATTTTTACATATAGTAATTATTTGTTTAATATTGTTTATTCATATTAGTTTTTGTAGGCAAATTATTATTATTATTTTTTTACATCATTATAAAAGTAAAGTTTGAATGAAGTTTTATTATAACTAAATTTCAATGTTGTATATAGGTTACAGAGGCATGTGGGAAAAGATATTCTTATAAGAAGTTAGAAGAATACAAGCACAAGAAATTTCTAGGAGTATTCTATTTACAAACGGCTTTATTTTGCCACAGGCCTCTTTTAAGGTATAAATCAATGGGTCGTGTAATTATACATAATTTTTCTAATATCAGATAGTCTAAATATGGAGTTTTATTAACGCAATAAATATTGAACTTATATGAGTGTGACAAATTATATTTGTCAATAAAAGTGAAATAAGTTCATGTTAAAATTTTAAATGCGAAAAAATTGTGTAGAACAAGCAATTAAAGTCTTAGTAGTTATTAAAAGTCACAAATCTGAAGAAACTTTTAAAAAAATTTATCAACTGAGGACTTCTGATCTGAACTAAAGTGTTTCTTAGTGACAACAACAATCTTTGCATTTGAAAGGGAAGTTGAAAATCTTCACCGATGTCTCTTTTTCTATGTCCTTCTCAATAGTTTTCGCAAATACCAATTAGGTACCTCTTTGATCTTCCTTGCATACTTCTTTGATCTTTAAAATTGATAGCTTGACCAAAAACATCTTGAGACCATTTAATCATAAAGTCAGTCAGCTCCCTGTTAGCTTTTTTCACACAGAGAAATTAGACAGTTTTTCTGTTGTCATCATGAGTTTTTGCTTGATATGGGATTTGAATAGTTTTGTATTTTTATTTATTATTACTTGTATTTTTATATATTACTTGTATTTTTACTTATTATTTGCACTTATATTTATTAAATAGTTTTGCACTTGTATAAAGGCACAATGAAACTGTTCGCAGGTCTTTCCCAGAATTTTAAAATCAATAAAAATTAGTAACTCTTACTTAAACAAGTTGCTTATCTTTGTTTGTAACTTATGTGACAAAAATATTTTTTATGTAAAAAACGTTTTTTGAATTTCATTTGATTAATAATCTTGTCAATAGGCCAAAAAATTAAAATTTTAGAATTTTTTTTTTACGTTGATGATAAAAGATTTCTAAACCATCTTTAATGTACTCCTACATAATGTACTATCATACCCCGAAGGTTTTTCTCTGGAAAATTATTTTAAAATTTTAAATAAAAAAATTTTAAGCTATAATTAAATGTAAATGACAATTGTTCTCAAGTGGTTTTAGAGTTTGTCAAAAGTTTTACAACAAAAAAAATTTTTTAATGGTTTTATAGTTTTCCCAATAAATTATTCATTCAGCTATAGCCAAAAAATTTAACCACCCAGTTTTTTTAACTGTATATATTGTATACAAAACGTTTTTTTTACTGTATATATTGGGTGGACACAGAAAAATCCGGTCAACTTTAAATTAAGATTTCTCTAAAACCACAAATGCTTTTTATTTCAAATTTTTTTTAATTAAATGTTACTTCCTTTTCTTTAATAGTGTTAATAAACTTTTGTTTACAAATTAATGATTTGCAAAATGTTTCGGAAACAAATTGAGGTGCATAAAAAAGATGTGAATTTTTTTTGCAAAAATCCATCAACTTCATATCGCTTGATTGCTAAACACACAAATGTCCCAAAATCTACAGTCATAGATATTATAAATAAGTTTAAGATTACTCAAAGTTTCGAAAGAAAACTTGAAAGTGGAAGAAAGAAAACTTTCCATAAATCCAAAAAGGTAAAGTCGATTTTATGATCAATAGCAAGAAATCTAAACCAGTCACAGCGAGATCTAGCAAGAAAATTCATAACTTCTTGTTCTTATATCAAAAAAGTACTTAAAAATGCTGGAATTAAAGCATTTCATAAAAAAAATACACCTAAGAGAAGCTTAAATAGTGAAATTAAAGGAATTTGATACGCAAAGAAATTGGTTAAAATAATGGTGGATAAAAGTATGTGTATAATTGAAGACGACAAAATATTGCAAGGCGGATTTTTCACAATTTCCTGGTCAACAATTTTACTATGAGAACAAAGATAAACCTGTCATGATCAATTTATATATATTCGACAAGAAAATTTTGCATCCAAGTTCCTTGTGTGGCAAGCAATTTGTAGCTGTGGCATGCAGTCCTTTTGTTTTGTCACTAAAAAGACTTTGACTGCCAATCTATACATCAAAGAATGCCTTCAAAAAACTTTTGCCATTTATGAAAAAACACAAATACCGAACTCTTTTGGCCAAATCTTGCTGCCTCTTGCTGTTCTAAAAAAGTTCTACAGTGGTGTAAAGATATTAATGTGAAAATTGTTCCTAAAGGTTCGAATCCTCCAAATCTTCCTCACAAGCACAAGATTAAAGATATTTGTCAATAGTTAAAGGAGTTTTTTGTAAGACAGGTGTAGTAACAAATAATAAAAAGGACTTCCAAAAAAAAAGTGGATTAATGCCACCAATAAGGTGAAAAAAGAAAAAATCTTCGAAATGATGGCATCAACCCGCTATAAAATTTGATCTTAAAACTAAGTTGATTTTAAGCCCCTTAAAACTAAGTTGAAACTCTAGTTTATGTAAACACATTTAATAATAAAAAAATTGAAATAAGAAGCATTTATGGTTTTAAAGAAATCTCAATTTAAAGTTGATCGGATTTTTCCTTGTCCACCCAATATTTTTACTGTACACATTTAAGACAACATTTTAGTTTATAAATGTTTATAATTATGAACATAAAAAAACAGAGAAATCTTAATAAAGAAGTTTTAGTACTAATATATTAAAACATGTTTTAATACATTAACATACTGTGACTTCTTTTAAGACTCCTCAAGAATAGTCTCTATTCTTCGCAGCATTGAGGCAATAAGAGACAATATTTGCGCATTATTTTATGACACCTCGCTTTCATTATGGCATCTTCTCAGATCTTTTCTTAAGGTTGGGTTCTAATTAGAATCTACTTACAGTTTTAACCAACACTTTTATTTACAGATTACCGAAACCATAATTGCTAGACATTGCTTAATAGATTGTGCAACCATCTGTCTTAGAACTGTGCAGTCAGTAAGAATTTGTGAGCTTGAAATCTTTATGTCCTTCACAACCAATTGACATATCCTGTTGTCAGTTTTTTTCGTAATAATTCTTGGTCTTGCACAAGATTTTCCTGGATTAATGCTGTCTGTTGACTTGATGGGTTATGATATCTCAAACAATTGTCTTAAGCATTTTTCAATATGCAGCAATTATTGGTTTAGACTTGCCATCTTCCATTAAAATTTATAGTTAGTAATAGCAAACATTTTTTCTGATTCCATAATTTTTTCTATTCCATGGAAAAAATTATGGGATCAGCATAATTTTTTGCGACTAGTGTCATTGAAACTAGTCACCTAGAACATAAGCTCTCCTCAACAAGTGTCACAACTTTTTATACCAGCAAAATTTTTTTTCAACTAGTCACCGTTAACTAGTGTGGGCACTTGGCTTGACGGGACTGTGCAAGCATTTAGAGAAAAAAAATGACATGTTGTATAACTAACAATATAGAGGACCTCGTGAAACCAGTAACAACACAAGTGTCTAAAGATGTAAAAGATTTCCTACATGAAAATGTAATTACTTTGGCTGAATGGCGGAAAGTGGTGAAGTTATTAGACGCTGTGCCATTGGTCAGTGTCTTTGCTTAAACCTAAGCTACCAAATAAATCCAGCCTCTATTTAAACCCATGCTACAGCCTCAACTGACTTACTTGACTGACCAACTATCTACGGCCAGACATTACACCAATCCTTCAAAAGAAATGACGTTAAGGAGATGCTTGAAAAAGCTTTAGCAAATTATTAGCTTGACTGAAAGGTTCATTATCAAAGGCACCGGCTGGTACCATAGTTGCCCTGAATGTGAACATGAATATTAAACTATTCATAGACTTTGTGAGAAGTGCTACATTAAAACACCTACCTACATTCCAAAGCATTCAGTCATTAATATAAACAATAATGACAACAAATGCCAAGTGGGCCATCCTTTTAGCAAGGTACCCAGAAGTTTCAAATTCCTTCTGTACTACTAAGTATAGTAATCATCAAAGAGCTTAACTTTAAAGATATCACCTTCCCAATGAAATTTAGTGGTGTTTAGAAATTTACTCAACATCTTTGAACGGAAAAAAGTGTTTTACACGATGTAACTAATCAAGCATTTCGTTTTGCTGCTGTTCTTGATAGATGAAACGGATCCAGAAAAGTCCGATGTCTGAATCAAAAACCCAGCATAGATATTTTATGATTTGTAAAGGGTGACTAGCCTCGTAGTGACTAGCCTTAATGATACTAGTCACAAAAAATTATCTTGACCTTGAAAATTTTTCTATGGAATTGACACTTGCCATTTCTAAGCATAGAAAATGTTTTCTGCTGATGCTAGTAGCCAAAAACTTTTGGTGATTAATCTAGTCTTGTATAGCTTGATAAATAATTAGATTATGATAAATCATAAGGAAATAATAAATCATTAGTAGATAGTAAATTACTGAAATCTTTTTAAATTTAAGTTTTATAATATTTAAGTAATAATTTTCTAAAAATATTACATGAAAAATTTTAAAAATTGAACTAAAAATAAAGCTAGTTTTTGAACTTAATCATATTAAATTACTTTGTTAACTCAAACCCCCGTTTTTAATTTAATGAAAAACTTCATGCGCTTAGTTATTTTAAAGTATTAACGTCACCAGTAAATTTGAACGTTGGTTGTTTACTTTAATTATTTATTTTTAATTTTTCTTGATAATTAATATACGAATTAGAAAATAATTTTATTTAAAATTATTTTACACAAAAAAACAATTATATATATATATATATATATATATATATATATATATATATATATATATATATATATATATATATATATATATATATATATATATATATATATATATAATATATATATATATATATAAAAAATATTAGAAAAAAAAATTTATAGTTAACAATATTTAAGCAATAAAAAAAATGACTCTTTAGTTTATGTGTTATAAAATTGATAGTCCATTTTTGATTTTACACGTTGTAGTTGCTTTGCCCAACAATATGCTGTCATACAACCAAATGCTGTAGTCCAAAATATGTTATTGTAATCTGAATTATTTTATTGTTTGAAATTATTCGATATTATTTATATAATTATGTATTATAAATGAGATAGTTGTGTAACACATTTTCAATTTTACAAGTACCCTGGTATTTTTATTATAGTTATATTAATGTTGATTATATATTCTGAAATTGTTATTGTTGAATGCAAATTAGTTTTTCAAAAAATGTTTAGGTACATATACTATACAAACCACAAAAGAGATTCCGTTCAAATGGTGCGCCCCTGAAGTATGGCTTGACACTAAGTATTCCACTAAAACTGATGTTTGGTCATATGGAGTTACATTATATGAAATTTATTCACTCGGCCAACAGCCGTATCCTGGCTGGACCAATAAGGTATTTTTTATGATTTCAATTGTTATTTTAGAACAGTTTTAAGATGTTTACAAATGAAACTGAAATGATGTTTGATTGTTATTATTATTAATAATTACAACAAATAGTAATTATTAAAAAGACTCTATTTTGTTTTGCATTTTATTTTTTAAATTCTGTTTATTTGCAGCTCAAATATTTACAAATTTTACTAAAAGATAAAGATGTTTCTTAAATTATACTTTCAATTAAAACGTTTTTTAAAACTTTGCTTTTTACTTCTTTTTCATTACTTTTAATTTGTATGACATAAAAATAAGTATTTTCAAGTCTTACAAATTATTACTATTTAAAAGTAGTTTCTTTCATCAAATGTTTTGGACAAGGACAACATCGATATGTATAGCTAACACAATTCTTTGAAAAAAAAACTAGCATTTAGATGATAATCTAAAAATTAAAAAAAAAATGTCAAAACTTACACACATTTTAGAAACGCCAGAAAGCGCAGGCTTCCCCTTATGTTTTATACTTTTTCACTTAATGTTTTGTCTTTGCTAATTGTATAACAGTACTTCAAGTTCAAGTTTTTTTATTTTTTTCAATTTTAAATTACACTAAAAAGAACAATTTTTAATAAATTAAATAGGATTTTGTTAGTTACAACAAAATAGTACGGTAGATTGCCTTGAAGGCTAAAACAAAAGACTTATCTTACTTCAATTTTACAATTCACGTTAATGAACATAAAACAAAATTGAGTTCAAACAATTTTCTATGAGCATTCCATGATTTTATACGTTTTATACATTTTCCATGAATTTATACTGTTTGCGTAAATCAAATTAATATTTGCCCTTTTTTTTATTTGTTTTGTATCTTATATTGCGAACGTTTATAAAACGTTACTGATGACGTCAAACTCAAAACGCTGAAATTATTTATGAAATATTTTATATATAAATAATATAATAATATTATGAGTTAACTATATTCTAATTGCATTTTTAGCAAGCTCGTGAAGAAATAAATGCCGGGTATAGGATGCCATCTCCCGCAAAAACACCTCCTGAGGTGTATGAGCTAATGAGAAAATGTTGGCATTTTTCGGACTTTGAGAGGCCTTCTTTTAGTGAGATAATCAATATATTTGAAAATATAAGGTTGCATATATTCAAAATGAATTTTTTAAAATGATTATCATTAAAAAAATATTTCGTTTTGTATAATTCTGCGCGCGCATTTATTTTATGTTCTTTTTTTTATTTTTTTTAAAAAAAAGATACTTTTTTTGTATTTTATTCGTATTTCGTATTCTATTGTAAAATAAAATATTGTGGTATTTGCAATTAGATAATTAGCTTATAAAAAGCTTTTTTATATTTTTTATAATTTTCATAAATTTATGAACACTAATATATCATATCATTTGATTTATATTTAAATTTTTTTTTTGTTTTTCAACACAATTAAAATATATTTATTTTTTTATTAAATTCCTACAAATAAAATATATTGTATGTTTTTAATATACATAAATCATATATAACTTTGTTTGTTTGTTTGTTTGTTTTAATGCAAAGCAGTTCACTTGTTTAGTGCTTAAAATTTTTTTTTTTTTTTAATTTGTTATTTTAGGTGCCCCAAGAAGTCCTAACGGTCTTGTCACAGAGCACCGCGGAAGTGCATTTAACCAGAAAGTTCACGCCTCCTTCCTTACCGTGACGCAAAATATGTCCAAAACTCGTTTCGAACCTCGATCTCCTGCTTATAAAGCAAGCGCTCTAACCACTGCGCCACGGCCGCACAAAATTTTTTATATTGACGTACACAATTTTTTATATTGACGTACGCAACTGTAGCATCCCCTTAAGTAAATCTATATAATAGCATTTTTGATACTTCTTTGATTTTGTTAAAGACGGCTTAGTGCAGCTGGACAAATCTACTGTTCACGACTTGAAAAGAAAGTAGATAAGATGGTGATGAGGTGGATGGAGAAGATAGATGAGATGTTATGCGATTAAACAAGGGCTAAAATATTTTTTGATTTCGTAAAAATATGCGTTCGAATTCCAAGAAATCGTGAAATTATTTTTTCGTATTTTTGCCTTTTTTATTGGCATTTCAGGGCTATTTCAGATAACAAAAAACATCAATTTTCACTGGTTGTAATTGTTAGGGCCTATTTGCATCACTGGTTGTGATTGTTAGGGTCTATTTGCAAACTTGATGATTAATTAGACAAAAAATGTTGCAAATTTTAATAACTCTGCAATTGTTGACTTGACAAAATAAACCTCAACTAAAGTCAAATACATCTTTTTTAATTAAGATTAAATTTTCGCTTACATAGTAGCTATATAATTTGTGTAAAGGTTTTCCAAGAGTAAAGAAACCATAAACTGATACTTATGAAATAAAATTAAGGTTAGTTATCACCTTGAGATGTTTGGTTTTATTGCTGTTTTTTATCTTTGCAATGTTTTCTTTTATTCTCTCCTTTCTGTATTTCATCGAAAATACAAACTAAAAACATTGCTTATCTGTAGGAGTTTACCGGATTGGAAATTTTGAGTTCCGGCCGGAACCGGAATTGCTAATAAAATTCCGGCCGGAACGAGAGTTATATACAGTAGGGTCGAAAAATAAAATTTTTTAAAATTCAAAAATCTACAACATTCAGTTAGTCTAAAAACAAAATATCACTTATTTTTATTCGTTGGAAGTGCTACATGTAATTTTTTAAATATTGAGGATTGGCTGAACTTTATGTCATTTTTTACGGGTTAAAATATGTTTATATCTAAACTTTTGTTTGATCTTACAAGAAAAAAAATACTGTTTATAGTTTCATACAGTTAGCTATTATTTTACAATAATTTTTCAACTCTAGGTTTTAGATTTACCAGTTCCTTAAGCGACATATCTTTTGTTATAAGCTTTCTGTGCTCTCTGACTACCAAAAGAATGTTCTGTCTCTGATCCTCATTGTGGGAACTGTGAACAAAGTTTTCAATTAAACTAATATTTCTTTCTGCGCAATCGTTGGTCACACTAAGATTGCAAACTAACTGAGCAAAATTTTTGTATGAATCTAGCGCTAAGAAATCACTTGAAGTATGCCACTCTCGAACAGATTCGGTGTGACCTGTAAGTATAAAAAATAGCCAACTCTCCTTCGTAATTAAATCCTCTAATCGACTATCACTGGTAACGTTAACAGCAGAAGGAGCTGTAACAGAAATCTCTGATAACTCAGGAATTGGAAATTTTAAAAGTTTCTGAATGATTAAACGCTTACCATCTGCTTTCATATAAGGATCACCTAACGATAGTACGACAACTTTAGGAGACAAATACCATGTGTGGTTACTCATGCTTTTTTGAAGTGAGTTTCCAACTTCATAATCCCATTCTGTTTTAATTGTTTCAGCAATTTTGAATGCATTAAAATTATTCAGAACAGCATGCTCTGCTTTGCCTGAGTTAAGAAAGGCAGGTCCATAATAAATAGCAACAAAAAATTCTACCCTTGAGACCATATGTTTTTTTTCAGGAGTCAGATATACAACGACTGTGGATGTCATATCGAGCATTAGAAAATATATTGCATAGGCCATAAACCTTGCATTGTGACAGGCGCCACGCTGATAGATGTGAAAATTATTTAATTTTTCAGACTTAACATTCATGTAATACGCCAAGTATTCACTAAGATGCCTGTAATCATTCCTAAAATATTCCTAATTTTGATTAATAACTTTAAAAAAAAAGTATATTTATGAAAAAACTAATTCATTTTATATTATTTTTACATACCTGGGGAAGATTTCATGTTCTAGTGCTTTAGTAACAAACTTTTTAGACTTCAAATAGAGTTTGCAGAGATCACTGCCAACAATAAGGTTTTACTCAGGAAATCGTTTGAACTTTTCTACAGCACCACTAGCTGAAACTTTAGGAAAAAATTCTGTTATCCATTTCTGCTGAAAATCTTTTAGTAACTTATTCGCAGGGGCTTTAGACATTTCCATTGAAATTGCATTTAAAGCCCAAGTAATATTTATTTCAGCAATATGGTGTCTACACAATAACCAAAGAAATGGTTTACCAAGAAATCTTGCCATAATAGTTATTGCACCAGATTTCCATCCAGTGTTACTTACTGTAGTGTCAGAACAGAATCCTACAATATAGTCACAAATTTCAAAATATTCTAGGAGATTCATAATACTTATAGCCATATCAATTCCCTTACCACTATCAGTTGGCACAACACCGAGTAAAAAATCATCTTTGGTTTCAAACTCTGGACTAGTAACAGATACTGATAGTCTATCTGCAGTAGTTGCCTGTCTAGTGTCCTCCTCAATATGCTTTAAAATTTTACCATCAAAATGTAAAACTAACATCTTGTTAGCCATTAAATTAATATATTCATTACGTATCTGGCCGCCTTCTGACAGATACTCTGCTTAACTTTAGCTGTTTAACATCTCCTCCTAAATAGTTTACTACGCTTGCAATAAGAAGGGTTTGATCTCGAATGCTAAGACCAGCCCTTATACTGGTGGAAGTTGTTGCTGCAATGAGACCTTCACTGGTTATCTCCTTTTCTACTCTGAAATATGATGGTCTAAACTGATGCCTACTTTTTGAGCTTGCTTCGTGAAAATTAACATTTTTATTTGGGACAAAATCTTCCGACTTAGCAATTACACTTCCAGCATCTAAATTAATATAAAGATTCTTAGCTTAGCTATACATTTACTTCAAAAAATTACTAGTTTTGCCTAAAATGTCCGTGCATTATTAGAAAAAATTGTTTATCTTCTCTCTTTTTATTTAGTCATAAGTTGAAACAAATATTTTATGTGTTTAACAAATTATACTTAAATATTACCTAATTGTGATTCAGCTCTTGTTTTTTTTAGGTTCTGTCGGTTCCTCACTTGCGAAATTGAAATTTATATCATTGTTAGGAAAAAAGTTGTGATTCCATTGCCTTTTTTCCCCAATTTTTTCTTTGTTGTCACGAATTATCGAATCATTTCGCTTCTGTACTCGATCTTTATATTCTTCTTTCCTCTTGCATCTATCAATCTTTCTCTGAGGCCTTGCTTCAAGCTCTGTGTCAATTTTAGAAGATATGATCATATTTCTGTTAGTTCTGTGCAAAATGTTGTTAAAACACTTAGCGTAAGATAAATTTGAATAAAAAAATAAAATTTCTCAAAAAAATGATTTTTTTATATAAGGGAAAAATTAGTAGATATATCATAATTGAAAAATAGGTTAAATCTTCGCAAAAAAATTTGAGCTAAAAATACCTTTGATCATCTAAGAAGGCCAAATCCTCTTGTAAAGCAGAAGTATCACGAGGCATTGATTCATCGCGTCTCAACTTCATCTCAAAGTCCTTCGCACTGATATCAAACAATTGCTCTACCATATTGTAAAAGTCATTTTTGTGGCGTTCGGAAATTTGCTTTTTGATTTGAAAGGTTTTACTGTTGCACAAAGTTTTGTATTTGCTGTATAGAGATTTAAACTTTTCCACTATACTTCTCTCAGAAATTAAGTAATTACTGAAACCAGCAGACTTCCAAATATTTACAATTTGTCGGAGTAAACAGTATTTTTCGGTATTTGAATTACAAAACTCGTCTTTCCCTTTATATATAACATCCTCTCGTGCTCGAGAACATGAAAAGTTTATTTTAATAGGTTTGAATCGCTTATCTCTAGCTGAAGTTAGGAACAAGTAATATCGAAGAACACTTCTATTTGATGGAAGCTGGTTTGTAGGTAGATAGCTTAAAGGCGAGTTAAGCAGGTAAACCTCCGAGCGTTATAGCTAATTTCTTTTGTTTTCCTCTCTTTGATTTTCAACATTTTGTACGGATATGTAGACAGTAAAAAAAGTTTAAATCGAAGTTTAAAGTAAGATAATTAATAAATCAAAAGTTGCCAAGTGATTAAACGCAATCCACTAAGTTTATGGTGCAATTAAAGTTTTTAAAAAATAGTTGTGAATGACCACAAATGTTTTAAAAACATCTTGAGTTTTTGACACATGTTTTGAAAACTTGTGTGATGTGAAAATAATAAAATAATGTGAAGAAGAAAAAAAAACGCTTGGAACGTAAAATTTTTGAATTTACATGTAGCTCTTCCTGATCACTTAGGGATCTAAAAATTTTTTTGTAGATTTCCGAAGTTTGGTAGAACAGGAAAATGTACTGCGGCTTTTTTTTTTTTTTTTTTTAATTTTGTGTCACCCTAATATACAGTGTCTCAAAAAATTATCCGACCAAACATTTTTTTAAATAATTTTCCTAAAAAAAGTGCTTTATTTTTGTAAATTTAGACTTTTTTGGTAAACTCAAGATTAGCAAAAAATAAAAGAACATGTTTTTAAATAGATTTTATTTATTTTAGTGTAAAATGTGAATCACAAAGTTTTCAGTCTTAAAATTAAGGAACTTAGGTCGTTTTTTTATTGCCAAAAAAATATTCGACCAAACATATTTTTTGTTCCATAATAAATTATTAAATAACAAAACAGTTATTTTAATACTTTGAAGGACCTCCCTTTGCTTGGATTACAGCTTCTAGACGTCTAGGCATTGATTTGACTAAAGATTTAGTTTCTTCTAGTTGAATCTTTTCCCAGGCTTCTTTAATTGCCACTTTGAGGTTATCTTTTTTGGAAAATGACCGATCTTCAATTTTTCGGTCTAAAACTTCCCACAAATGTTTAATGGGATTAAGGTCCGGTGATTGTGCGGACCATTCCAAGACCTCAACATTATTTTCAGCAAACCACTCCTTGGTTTTAGTGGCCCTATGGGATCGTTATCTTGCTGAAATGTAAAATCAGATCCTAGCCGAAGTTTTCGAGCAGATGACTTCAAGTTTTGCTTTAAAATTTTTCTGTTTTGCACCTTATCCATTATAGTATCAATAAATTGGAGTTTTCCAATACCCTTCCAAGCCATTGAACCCCATACCATCACGTTACCGCCACCATATTTGACAGTTCCTCTCACGCAGCTTAATTTGTAGGCTTCTCCGGCTTTTCTTCAAACATTTTGGGCTCCATCAGATGACTTTAAGTTGAATTTTGATTCGTCGCTCCACAGAATCTTTTTCCAGAAACTTAACGGCATGTTTTTGAACTTCTTAGCAAACTCCAATCTTCTTTTCATGTGTTTCATACTCAAATATGGTTTATTACGCACAATTCGTCCTTGAAATCCCTGGATACGATTTCTGATAGTCTGATGGGATAGTTTGATTCCATAATTCTCTTCAGCTTGCTCAGCCAGTTTTTGAGCAGAAATGAAGCGATTTTTCTTGACTTGTATAATTAAGTTTCTATCAAAACTTTTAGAAGTCTTTCTTTTGCGACCCTGTCCTTCTTTTGTGGCCGTTGTTCCGATCAAATTATACTTCTTCATTATGTCGGATACTGTATTATGAGGGACTCCAGTCTCTTGCTGCACTTGATGATAAATTTTACCCTGATTGACTAGATCGACAGCTAAATTTCTCTGAGAAACAGTCCAATGACGTTTACCTCCAACCATTTTACTTAAAAAAACATGAAACCTTTTTTATACAAAACTTTTTTTTACTACTACAAAAAAACAGTTTTTTTGTTATGCAATTTCATTAATTGTATAAATATTTGCCAAAATATTTCAACAAATTTCTCATAATTAAATAATTAAACTTACCTAAATATCGCTTGGTCGGATAATTTTTTTACCAGCCTATTCAATACTAAGAACAAATAATAAACCATAGTCATAAGAATAAATAGTCTGGAAATAAAGGCCGTTTCCATTGTTTTGCCGTTTTATGTTGAAACTCGTATCAACGACCCGCTGAAGGTGCACAGAAAGATAAACAAAACTAAGAGTTTGAACTGAAGACTGGTTTTAAGATTTAATTTATATAGTTTTTGAAAATTTTTTGTATTAATTATTTTTCTAATCTGTTAAGAAAAGATTATTTAGTTTTAAAAATCTATTTTACATAGCTAAAAAAGTAATAAATAAGATATATATATATATATATATATATATATATATATATATATATATATATATATATATATATATATATATATATATATATATATATATATATATATATATATATATATATATATATATATATAATCTATTTTACATAGCTGAAGTAGTTATAAATAAGATAATATATATATTATATATATATATATATATATATATATATATATATATATATATATATATATATATATATATATATATATATATATATATATATATATATATATATATATATATATATATATATATATATATATATATATTAAGGGCTTGAATTATGAATAACATTTTTGTATTATTATATTTTAACACAAAGTAGTCTTATATTAACAAGTAGATAATGTAGTGTAACAAAATATATTTCTTTAATCCTTTTTTAAAGCTTATGCTGCTATGGTGTAGCAGAAATAAAAAACTGCTATGGTCTAACAGAAATAAAAAACAAAATGTCTTTGTTTTGCTCTTTATTTCTTCTGCATTATGTATGGTGTAGCAGAAATAAAAAACATAATAATTCCTAAAAAATTTTCCATAAAATTTCACATGCTTATATGTTGAAAATGTTTTGTTTGATTTCTTGCTCTTAATGTTATATTCCAATCATAGGATTTCTGATCTGCCAGAAGCATCATTTTCATCAATTATCGTTCACAAACAAGAGTTGGTAACTTTTAAAATAGTTTCAATTCAAGATTTGCACAATAATTTTGTAATAATATATATATATATATATATATATATTTATATAAATATATATATATATATATATATATATATATATATATATATATATATATATTATTACAAAATTATTTGTAATAATATCTAATAACGTTTAAAAGAGCATCATGATTTGCACAATAATTTTGTAATAATATATATATATATATATATATACATATATATATATATATATATATATATATATATATATATATATATATATATATATATATATATATATATATATATATATATATATATATATATATATATATATATATATATATATATATATTATTACAAAATTATTTGTAGTAATATCTAATAACGTTTAAAAGAGTTGAATTTTATTAACATATAAATATATGTTATATATATACATATTTGACATATTTAAAGTACATTTTTCTAGATTATAACGGCATTTTAGAAAATTTATTTAATCGATATTAAAACTAAAAGTACTAGATGATGTAGTTTCAACACAACGAGAAATTAAAAAGCTTTTTTTCTTGTACACAAACTATTTTTAATTTCTTACTAAACTAAACTCTTCTTTATACATAAACAAAAACTTTTTGCATACTTTTTTCAAATCCAAATAATAAATATTCTCTTCAGTGATGGATCTAGTATTTTTTGGTATTTGAGAGAGCTAATTTCCAGAAATAGAGTAAACTCAAAACATTCGTATGTTTACGCTTACGTCAAATAATGACGCTTTTACGTCAATTAATGACGCAAAAAGTTGTGATGATTGGATGTTGGGAACAAATAAGCCTTAAAACTTCCTCACCCAACACCCACTCACCCCAAACGTTAGGGTAACAAGTTGATAAAAATTTACTATTCTTAACTAGACTTATATCCATTATTATATTTTAAGTTTTATAGTATTTTCTCTCAGCGTTCAAAAATTATGACCATGTTTTTTTTTTTTTTAATTTAATTTGATTTATTTATTTCGTCCTTTGAAATAAACTTTACAATGTTTTACTACATAACAATATAAAGTTTTGAAAAATTCTGACTGGAGCTGGCAGAAGACATGGTTTTATCATCCAGCTCCGTTGTTACAAGTTAGATTTAATCTTCTATACGCATGCATAAACTTTTTTTTTTATTGTTTTTTTTTTTTTTATATTATATTTTATTTTTTTATTCATTTATTTATTATTATTATTATTTTTTATTATTATTCTTTTTTTTTACATCAATATAATAACATAACTTTGAAATGCATACATATTGAAGAAAATACTTATTGAAAAACAAAATAAAAACCTATTGCGTCAATATATAAGATATTAAGTAACTAAAGTTATAATAAATATTTTAAAAGTAAGTGAGTAATTGATTATAATCAAAACTGAATATGAATTGTTTAATTGTACGTTTAAAATGTAGAGTGGAAGTTATAGTCTTTATATTACTTGTTAGAATCGAGTCCTACAATCGTGGCCCTCGGGAAGATATTGAGAAGTTTTAATAAAGTTTTTGGTATAATAAAGTAGTTATTGAGTACTTAGTTTGGTATTTGTGGCTTATAGAAATAATTTGATATGGGGAAGTGTTTGGTAGTAGTAGATTCTTTAAATTAAAGATAAAAAGTAATATGTTAAGAATATTTACTTCGAAGACATAGCACTTCAAGTCCTCTTAGTAGAGGTTTGGGACTGGTGTACCTGTTTGCGTTTAATATTAAGCGACATGCATATGTTTTTTTTTTTTTGTAAACTGCATTTAACTTTGTTGCATATGTACTCGCCCAGATTATGTAACAGTAACTAATACAGCTATGAATAAATGATAAAAAATTATTTTTTAAATAAGTTGTATTAAGAAGATGCTTTGATTTTTTTTTATTTACTTAATATATAATTGCTGTTTATATAATAAGAAATATAATTACAAAGAAACGTTTACATACAAAAAAAGTGAATTTATAATAAACAGGCAGGGGCTCAAAGAAAATACGGATGACTAAAGTCACCACAATCTTTTCATAGAGCCCCTAGGTGGGCTTTACAAGTTAAAAAAAATAGTATCTCCAATATAATAAAAAGGTTAAAGCTTGCATAAATATTTCCATTAAATCAAGAAAGTAAATAACATCATATAGTTTTATCAATATATTGGCAACTCTGTTAAGTATCAAAAAAAGAGCCAATTAACAAGTAAAAAAACTAAGAATAATGGAACTCGTTTTTCATTTCGAAAAATCAAGAAAACTATTTATCTAATTAAAAAATTTCATTTTTTATTATAAACTTAAAGGAATTTAATGATTTTACAGTATTTAAATTTTTTGTTTTTTGAAAAGTGTTCCATAGTTTTGGTCCACGGTATGATATTCCATATTCAGAATACTTACTATTAATTCTTGGTAATTTATAAGTATTCTATTGATTTATTCTAAGAGAATATTTTTTGTTTACATTTATTGTAAATTTATCATTAAAGTTTTTTGGAATCAAGCTGTTGTTACATTTATACATAAAAATTAGGTGTTGGTAAATGTTGATTTCATATATATTCATCATTTTCATGTCTTCCATTAATGGTTTTGCATGTTCATATTTTTTTTTTATATATATAAGTCTGCATGCATGTTTTTGTAAAGAAAATATTTTTTTAAGTTTTGTTGATTTATAAATAATTCCTATAATTTTAGATATTTTCCTTTCCGCTTTTTTGATATGATTACTCCAGCTAACTCTTCATTAAGAATTACACCTAAAAAGTTGATTGAGTATTCTCTTTTAAGTTTAGTTTTGTTGATAAACAGTTCAGGAAGTTTTAAGAGGATGATGTCTGAACCAGAAGATTTTGTAAAAAGAATATATTTGCTTTTTTCTACGTTTAGCGAGAGTTTGTTGGCCTTAAACCATTCGTTTAGATTTTCTAGCACTTGATTAACCGTATTAAACATAAAGTTAATGTTTTTGTGGCTAAAAGATATTTGCGTATCGTCAGCAAAGAAAATAAAGAGTTTATTGGAAGATGAGAAGATATCATTAATATAAACTAGGAATAGCAATGGCCCTAGAATTGATCCTTGCGGGATCCCACAGGTAATACTTTTAGGTTGTGTAACAGTATTGTTATACGATAATCCTTGTCTCCGATTATGAAGATAGAAGCAAAACCAATTTAAATTGTTGTTTTTTATTCCATAATTATCTAGTTTATACAGAAGAACCTCATGGTCAACAGTGTCAAATGCTTTTGAAAGATCAAGGAATACCCCTAGAGAGTATTTATTTTAATCGAATCTAATTAAAATTTTTTTTACAAGTATGACTATAGCGTGTTCTGTTTAGTGTCGTTTTTGAAATCCATATTGATTGTTATTTAAGAGGTGATGATTATCTAGAAAGTTATAGAGTTTACTGTGAATTATGCGCTCTAATATTTTTGAAAAACAGGGTAAAATAGAAATAGGTCTATAGTTAAAAGCCATAGAATCGTCCCCGCTTTTAAATACAGAAACAACTTTAACCATCTTAAGCTGTTCAGGAAATATCCCTTGATTTAGTTACATTTAAATATGCAGAAGGGGATGTTTAATAATATCGTAAACACTTTTTACGACTTTCGCGCTGATGTCGTTAAACCCTGGGTTTTTGTTTGGTTCTAGGGAACTAAAGGCATTTTGATGCTCATTGGGAGTTATTTAATGCTTTCCCATTACAAAATCTTTTTTTCTAAATATAATTTAAAACTTGTTTCTTCAGCTAGTTTTTTCCCAATTTTTGTAAAGAAGC